AAGCCTCTTGTGTCAAGTTAGTGAGTTTAAAGGCCTTAAAAGCTAAAAATACACTGGATAAGATGGAGACAAGATGATGTGGTAAAGGGGGAAGTGAAATGAAGCTAAAAATAAAAGAAACGAGGGCAGAAAGAGAAAATTGAAATAGAAAAAAGTTACACGGAAAATTCAGAAAGGGTAAATGGACAAAACAGGAAACAAAGCCAAGTCCAGAATGAAAGAGGAGGAGACTACCCTGGTGTTTTCTGGGATGAGGGCAGAGCTGAGTCCAGAATTAAAGAGGAGGAGGCTGCCCTGGTTACAGAGTGAGGGCAGAGATGGTGTCCTAGCTTCCTAGGTGGCAGGAATAACAGATTCCTCACCATTGCTTTCCAACTGCTCTAATCCTTAAACCTTTGAAGACTAGACTCAGATGTCTGGAAAAGATAACAAGTTAACCCAGTAAGATTTGATTCTTGGGGCTGGAGTGATAGTTCAGCAGAGGACCTCAGTATGATTCCCAGCACCCACAAAGGGGTTAACAGCTGTCATAACTCCAGTTCCAAGAGATCTGATGCCCTCCTCTGACCTCTGTGGGCATTACACAACACAAGTACATTTACATCCATACAGGCAAAACACTCATACACAAAAAATAAAAATGAGTAATTTTTAAAAAAAGAATCAGATACTTGTCAGGAAGAAGCATTTCAGTAGCAGGAGGAGGGATAAGACAGGGCAACAAGGTGAAAAGGACCAAAAATTTATTATATGCATGTAAGAAACTGTCAAAAAGTACAGAATAAATTATTTTTAAATTTCATTTTATGAGTAAGAGTGTATTGCATGCATGCATATAAGTGTACCCGTGTTATGAAATGCCCAAGGAGGTCAGAAGAGAGCATTGGATCCCCTAGAACTAGAGCTACAGATGACTGCTAGCCTCCATATGGGTTCTGGGAATAGAACCTGGGTCCTGTGCTAGAGCAACCAGTGATCTTAACTGCTGAGCCCTCTCTCCAGCCCTGAGTACAGAATAATTTAAAAACTAACCAAGTATTTATATAGCCTACAAAATAGAGACCAGAAAATGACCCAGAGAGGACTGGATACAATCTATGGGGAGGTCCAAGAGGTGACTTCGAGAACTATAGAAAATTAGATCATGACAAGATGCTGAAGCTGAGTTATTCCTGGCCACTGTGCCACACAGTGTCATCAGTGTGAAGGTCTCTAATTGTAACCGGTCAGAGCATTTATGAAATACTTCCCCTAGCACAAGTACCCTTTGAGGGGTCTCCCCTTGAACAGCAGTAAATACTAGTATTGTGAGATATTCTTAGGGAATCAAGGCAATCTTAGGGTTCTAAAACACATTATATTTTACCTTCCTTGTACTAGAAGAATCCTACATCAAAAAGTATTCATACAAGTTCTATGTCTTATATTTTGAACCTTTTCTTGGAAGCAATTCTTAAGTGAGTGAACCATATTCCTGGAATAGGCCAGCCACAGAATAGCAGGCACTAATAATATGTGTGCTCATGTCTTTTTAACCTACTACTGATTGGCATTTGTTGCTTAAAAACTCCCAGAGAATTTGTAGGAATGTAAAAAAGAGAACATGCTGGTCTTACACAAGCACAGAGAGATACCACCTGGCCCAACAGTACCCCAACTGCTGGGCACAGCAAGTCCCACTTGGGTCCTTTTCACTCTGCATTTGTCATAGGTGCAGTAGAAAAGGAGAAAGAGAAAATGCTCAAGGCCTGATAACGCTCATCACCCTTTTCTTCTTTCACAAGGTGGCAGGGAACAAAGAAACAGAAAGAAACAGTGGCAGATGAAGAAGAAATAGAAGAGGGAAGACCAGAAAAATGTTCTGGGTGGGGAAAAGGTGATGAAGCCAGTGGGGTTCTGAGGGTTTCATGCAGAGTCCAGTAGCAATGGGAGGGAGGTGTCGTGAAAGTCAGTGTATTACAACAAATATTTGCTAAGCACTGAATTTAAGGACCCAGAGATGGGGCTACCCTGATGGGACTGCAATAACCCTAAATATTGGTACCACTGTTTTGGTGGTGGTTTAATAACCTTTACACTATGTTACGAAACCAGGCAGTCAAAGGACATTTTTCCAGGAAACCTTTGTATAACTATACAGGAAGAATATGGCGGGCAATAGGGAACGAATAAAGGTATACACTCTTTAGATAACAACAAAATTCAAGAACAATCCAATGGAGACATACAGTGATGACCACAAATCCAGGTCATACTACAAGACCAAAATAAGGGTTGTTAACACAAATAAGCCTACATTTCTACCCCAGTGGTTGAAAATGCAGCTTCCAACCCTGGCATTGCAGCTAAGTGACAGAACTAGCTGGGTTCTGGAGCCAGCCTGCCTGGGTTGGAATCTTAGTTCCTTCACCTGCTAGCTGCCTGCACTTGAGCAAGCTACATAACTTCTCTGTGCTTCAGCGCCCCGCCCCACATCTGTACAATGGAGATAATAAAATCCACTTCCCACCAGGGTTTCTGTGGGAATTGAGTTAATACAGGTTAAGGTATACAGAAGAGTGGCCACCACACACTGAGTATGAACTAAATGTTGAATGATGTCATTTTTTCTGGTCACCAGTGATATACTCAGGGTGCGGTGTGAAGAAGAAAGGTGTCACTTGGATCAAATACAGCTTTGGGTATTTGTGCTGAGAACATAGATACTGACCAGTGTGGGCCTGACATCCATCTCTGGGCAGTACTCTACAAGGTCTTGTGTGGAAGTGTCTAGCTCTCTTACCCAGGACCCTGCACCCACAACTTAGGAGCCTCTGTGCTATGGGCTTCTTGGCAGTTTTTATTACTGGCAATATTTTGGATGTTCTAATTTCCCTCCAGTTTAGAAATCAAAAGCTGGTAAACCTAATGATTTCAACAGAAATTGAAGATGATGAACTATTCAGATGAGTAGACACACAGGTATATGACTTTAAAACAAGCTTATTATCATTTTTATTTCTTAGTTTTAAAAATATTTATTCTTAAATAATATTTTTACTAATTCTTTGGGAATTTCATAGAATGTTTTTGATCATACTCCCTCTTCTCCATCTCCTCCCAGATCTAGCCTCACCTCCCTACTCTCCCAATTTCATGTTTCTTTTTTTTTTTTTAAGCCCATCAAGTCCAATTCATGTTGCCCAAATGCCCCTTGGCACAGGACCATCCCTGAAGTGTGGTCAACCTACGACGGTTTACCTCCTTAAAGAACGCTGGCTCCCTCAGCATCTATCAGTTGCCAACAGCTCCTCAGTGAGGGCTGGAACTTCATGCTATCTCCTGGGATTTTCTGCCTGGATTAAGTTTGCTGGGTTTATTATCATTTTTAAATATACTAGAACCTAAGATAAAAGTGGAAGATTTCAAGAACTTCACATAAATCTAGTTTTTGTTGGTTTGGGCATAGCTTTAGAAATCTAAAAATGAATAGCTGACATTTTAAGAACCTGGTTACAGAGTTCCAACTTAAAGGGCACACACACAACCCCCCCAAAAAACACTTGGCAGTTGCCATGACAGCATAATGCAGCGCCTACCAAGCTCTTTGTTATCTGCTGAAGATGCTGTACTAACACACTCAGGATAGACTCTTTACTAATTAAATGGAAAATGTTAAAAAAAATTCTAGATGCACATGGTTTTCACCTGCTCCCAGACTCAGGAAAGCAAATACTAGCATTTTAAGAAAAAGAATGAGAAGGTAATATAAGACCATTCTAGATCTAAGCAGAAACAATATTGAAAAATAGGGAAATGTTCTTATTTTATTTTCCCTTTATCACCATCTCCCAGTAAGCTGTCTATTACTATTTTGCTGGCGTGATCAATCTGAATCATGTGGTTTAGCTGAGTCTCACTTCACTAACATGCCTAAATACTTCTGTCGTTTGGCAAGTTCAACTCGTACTTCTATATGCTAAAGCATAGGATGGAGAAGCCAGGCAACTGGTACCTATCAAATAAGTAACTCAATGACTAAACTAATGAAGATGGTTCAAGAAAGGGAAGTGAACATTTGCTAAATGTCAGCTGTGCCAGACACTGATCTAGACACCTCCCACGTACAACTGCACTCAATCTCCACAATGACCCATTTTATAGAAGAAACTCAACGGAGTATAGGTTGTCCAAGAACCTCTTGTGGCCACAACCCTTTGCTTTGTTTGTCCTAACTCTTATTTGAATTCTTAGTGTGCCCTATCCCCTCCTCTGCAGCAGGTTCTAATATTATCAAGGAAACTGAATCACATGAGTTTTAGTTATTTGTTCAAGGAAGCAAACCAGAAAGTGGCACGATGTGAATATAGTTCTGTTTATCTAAAAATTTACTAAACTCCTGTTTAACATCCACTAAGTTATTAAAACTGATATGGTCATGGATCAAGAAGAGACCAGCGCATCCATGCCCTTCAGGGTCTAATACTGAACCTCAAGATTCTGTCTCCGGCATCTGAGCTGCTTCATCATCCCCTCTCTACCCAGTGTAGGGCACAGTCCATGGAGGGTAGCGGAGAGGTGTAGTCAAGGATGCTTCTTCTAACCAATCCCATTCCTCACCCCTCCCAGAGACATAGTTTTCATTAAAGAAAGTACCAGGAAAAGATGCCTTAATGTGTCAAATTATTCTAAGTTGGTGACAAGACTGGGTAGTTTCCCTAACAAATCATCATAAATTTAGGCACTATGAGCAGCAATGATACAAAGATTTTTTTTTTTTTAAAGATTTTATTTAGGGTCAGGGAGATGGCTTAGCAGGTAAAGGCACTTGCCATCAAGCCTGATGACCTGATTTCAATTCCCAGAACTCATACGGTGGAAGGAGACAACTGACTCCCATAAGGTATTCTCTGACCTGTACAAATGTCATGGCACACATGTACACACACACACACACACACACACACACACACACACAAAATAAAAAAATTTAAATGTAATAAAGTTACTCTGCTACTTACAATTTTATAACACCATCTGAGCACCTGGAGCACAGCTGCTGGCTACTCCTGTCTTGTTTATGTTGACTCTGCCCCAGCTGAACAAATCTACAAATTATAACAGATAAATATAAGTTAAAGAAGGTAACACTTGAAATGAATTCAGGAACTCACATGAAACAAAGTGCACTTTCATAACCACGGTTATAAGATGGAAATCACTTCTGCACTTTAGCATCTCCATTATATTAGGTGTGAAGTGGCACTTGAACAGAAGTGTTCCTGAAGCCAGGCACAGTACCTCACAGAGCCTCCTCACACATCCAAGGGTGACACTACGTAATGCATAGACCGCAGGAAGCATGGAACCAAGTGCTTGCAGTAAAAGAATGACATGCAGAGAGGGGTGAGGCTAGAGACCCAGCCTGAGGCAGGAAAGCTGCTGAGATCCAGGACATGGACTCGAGTTTCCTCAGGACCTCACGATCCTCCCCACTCCCTTACTCCCCAATCTCGGTCTCAAGAACACTTTAGGTGCTACTAGGAAAACCACTTTCAACCACTTGAAGGAGACCAGCTGATGAACACATCACCCCTCCTCAGACAAGATTCAGATAGCACTAATCTAGGAGCCAAAGAGAACAGCCCTAACTCCTGACTGAAGTCCTGCCTATGTCACACACGTCCATCTTCCTCTCAGAGTTTAGGTGTAGTTTTGTTTTCATGTGCCTATGGTAGGAGACAGGGCAGGATAAAGGAGCTAATTTCCTTTCCACTATTCTGCTATTTAAAAATTTTCCCCTTTGATGACTATGGATAATTTTATCATTTATTTTTCATAAGCTTTTTTAAAAGGTCAAGTACTGCAGAAGCCACCAATTATGAAATTCTTACAGAACTAATGAACAACATACATAAAGCTTAACTTTATATAACAAGTGACAACTCCGATCCATTTTTTTGGAGGAGATCACATAATATTATTTGTATAGACTTTTAAATTTCCCAGATGAAGTACTCAAAGGTAATCAGGGTTGGTGATAAATGCTTTCATAATATATACACTCACTATCATAATTAAAAAAATATTGTGGCCAATGTATGAGGCTTTACAGAAGTAATAGAAAGCTTCCAGGTCTGGTCAAGATAGCAAACCAAAGTCACTGGAAAATGGGGAGGACAGACAGCAGGTCTCAGTGACGAGAATAAAACCATGAAACTGGGCTGGGTGTGGTGGTGCATACCTTTAGTCCCAGCACTTGGGAGGTAGAGGCAGGCGGAGCTCTGTGAGCTCGAGGCCAGGCTGGTCTACATACTGAGTTCCAGGCCAGCTGGGGCTACAGGGAAACCCTGGCTCAAAAAGGCCAAAAGGAAAAAAAAAAAACAAAAAACCCACAAAACTGAAATCCTTAAGAGTCTCAGAGTGGTCAAAGCCCAATGCAGGAAAAAGAGACAGGAGAAAAGGGAAGTGGGAAGACAGGCTGCAGAAGGTAGGTCCAGGGGCGTCTTTCCCCTTCCCCAGTGTTCTGTTGTGGCCTTGAGAGAGCTACAATTTCCAAGTCAGTTCAGAACACGGTTATTATGTATATAAACTTCAGTGGGTACTGCTTGTCAGGGCCACGCCATTTTGTAAAACTCCATTTTGGTTGAACTATGACAATTCTAGTAACTATGGTAATTATGTAACTATGGTAACTTGTTTCTCTAGATTCTTTTTAAAAATATTTTATGTATTATTATTTTATGTGTATGGGTGCACTGCCTGCATGTGTGTAAGTACACCCATGTTGTGCAATGCTCACAGAGGTCACAAGAAGGCCCAGGATCCCCTGGAACTGACATTATAGACAATTGTTAGCTACCATGTGGGTGCTGAGAATTGAACCTGGGAGCAGCCAGTGCTCTTAACCACCGAGCCATCTCTCCAGCCCCATGTTTCTCTAGATCCTTCACTGCCTTGCCCCATGGACCCCAAGTATTGGGGCAGCCAAAACGAACATTTTTTGATTATTCACTGCTTACTCCTAGCAATGGCCAACTGCGGGCCAAAAGAAACTTTTCAACCTTCTTCCCTACCCCCACCTTTTACCCTGTTATTATCAGAGCTTGTAAGTGGACGTCAGGCTTTGATTCTTACAGAGACACTGGTCTGCAGGTTCACCCCAGGAAAGGCCTGCACTGTCTTGAGAGGCTTGTTCCCTTGTCTTCTCCCTGTCTTCTCTCAGGTGCCAGCTTATTGGGTGCAGAGCTGGGGTGGGAGGGGCACCTGCTGGCTTAGGGCAGAACTACATGGCCTTACTCCTGATCTCTGGATTTGAGGAGGCACTAAGACAGCTCTAACGCCCAGGTGGGACAAGAGTGGGGGCTGGGCAGTCACAGAATGTATCCTGGCCACTTCCTGTCATAGCTACCCCACAAAAGCTTCTGCAATTTGGATGGAATGTCCCTCAAAGGCTCATGTGTTAAGTTTGTTCCCAGAACAGGCCCTCGACATGGGGCCTAGTGGGAGGTTTTAGGTTACTGAGGATATGATCTCAAAAGGAGCTGGAAGACCCTGTTTTTCTCTTTTTGTCTATCCTGGCCAAGAGATAAACAGTTTTGCTTGAGTATACACTCTCCAACATTATGTGCTGCCTTGCCACAGGCCCAAAAGCAACAGTCAAGTGGCCATGGGTAGAAGCTTCCAAAATTGTCACAAGCTTTTCTTCTAATTTAAAAAATATTTAAAACTTTTTATTTATATGTATGTGTGTGTGCCTGCTTCTCTTTATGTGTACCGCATGCATGCAATGCCTATGGAAATCCGAAGAAAGCATTACATCTCCCGGAACTGGAGTTATGGATGGCTGCCAGGTAACTAAATTCGGGTCCTCTAGAAGAATAGTAGCCAGTGTTCTTAACCACTGAACCATCTCTCCAGGTCCCAAGCTTTTCTTCTTTATACTATTTGATTATCTCAAGGATTTTTGTTATAGTAGTAGACAGCTGACTAGCACAGAAGCTGACAAGATGCTTCACACAGGCCTGTGGAGGAGGGAGAAGCCTAGCAGGGACAGTGTGTCCATAGGAAGGGGCTACTCACACAGAGGGAAGAAATGGCCAGCTCCCCTGCTTCCCCATTTCAATCGTAAGCAGAGGCAGCTTAGAGGACCAACCAAACAAAGAAGAGTATACTGTTTAAATCACAAGATCCCTGGGCCAGTCACTGAACAGCTCTGTGCTCTTAGACCTTGAAGGGGGTAATAATCTCTTTCTAACCAACAAGAGGAGGTTAAAAATAAAAAAACACTCTGAAACATATTCTTTAGTGGGTACTCTTCAGAGTGTCACACACAGATTCCCACCTCCTCTGCAGTAATCCCTTCCTTAGAGGGCTAGCTTTCAACCTTCTTAGACTATTTCCTGGGGATGCTGGGAAAGCTTTTATCTCTCATTCCTGAGAAGGAAGAAAATAAAGTAAAAGTCAAGCCATCCGAGCCAGTAAGATTGCAGGGGAAAGCCATGTCTGAAGCAATGGACCCTTTCTTCCTGTTTCTCATGAGCCAACACTTCAGTCCTTGCCATACAGAATCATACTCTGCAATGGGCAAAGTAGTATTATTAAGTCATTAACCCCAGATTGGTCTTCCTTCCATATCATGTCACTTATAATGGCCCACTGCAAATACTATACAGTTTAGCTACAGAGTCTGACAGACTGGATGATAAGTAACTGTGTGTCCAGGGGTGAGTAGTGTGCGGCTGCATTCTAAATGACTGACTTGGCTTTTAGTCAGACAGTGATGCAGTTCTATAAAAGTGCTAAGTTATGAGAGCTGATTTTATAGTCAAGAATTGTATAATTTATATTTTATGTGTTATAGGATGGATCTTATTACTTTGAAATAAAAACTGGCATTATTCAGTTCAATGGATTTTATTAAAAAAAACGCCCTCCTTAAAAAGGAACAGAAAATTACCACTTAGTTCTATCATAGAATGTATATGTCACATGTATATGAATTAAGTGGAACTGTGTTCATCTGGAATGTTCAAGTTGTCTAAAGGCTTGCATTAGGCTCATGAGGTGTTTATGTTGTCTTACCAGGTTCTTGAAGATCTCAGGGTAAAGGATTCCTTAGAGAATCTGGTGACTTTGAATCTTCCCGTCATATACATTTAATGCAGCAGGATTTCAAGAAATGCCTTTTGGTGGATTCCCTCCTTTCAGCAAAATCTGGTAAATCAGCACATCCTGAACTGGCACCCTTATGTGGCTACTTCTCCCCATTAAGTACCCAGACCTAAGTGAATGTGAAGTCTTCACCCACCAGCATCCTTGATTCAGTTTGTAAGCTGGTACCTTGATCTTGACGACTGAGGGATGTGGCTGTACTTAGCTTCAACTGTCCGTAGGCAGTACTGACACTCAAATGCAATATGAATCTTTCTCACTGAGGGGCAGTATCTCAAGCACTAGGGCTTCTAACTCCCAGGACAACTGGTGTTGCAGATTTCAACATTTAAATGCTACTATTGGGTTCCTTCAATATCACTATTTTTATTTTTTAGAACATTACAGTAGTTGTTATCATAATAATAGATTTCATTGTTTCCTTTCTGTATGAAAGATCTTACCTGGCATAAATGGAGAAATCTTCTTCTGAGAGGCCATCAGAGAGGTTAATTCCATATACTTCTTTCATGGGCTGGACCACATTCTAGAGATTTTTAAAAAAGAACCAGCTAGAATATTCAGACATTCTCCATGTTAATAATCTCCAGAGATGATAAAAGTGAGCCTAGGAATTTTTCCACAAGAGCATCACAAGGTTTCTTCATATTGGTCATTAAACTTTTCAGCTAATGGCTTTTAAATTTTTATTTATTTATAATTTTATGAGTGTTTTGCCTGCATATATGTAAGTGCACCCATGCGTGCAATGCCCATGTCGGTCAGAAAAAAGGTGTTGGGTCCCATGGAACTGGAATAAAATGGTTGTTAACTACTATGTGGGTGCTGGGAACTGAACTTGGGTCCTCTGCAAGAGCAGCCAGTGCTCTTAAACACTGAGCCATCTCTCCAGCCCCTCAGTTAATGGCTTCAGCACTTGAGAGGCTGAGGCAGGAGGATTGCAGTGACTTTGAGGTCAGTCTAGGCTACCTACTGAATTGTAATACAGCGTAGAGTGAGACTCTGCTTCAAAAGAAAAAAAAAGAAAGAAAAACTTTGATTTTCATTTCCCACTAAAACTGCTTTAGAGTGAAAAAAAAACAAACAAACAAAACAACAACAACCCCATTAAGTAATTATGGTTGCTGTATAAATGTAGGAGTTGGCAATTATTGTTCTGTAAGGTCAGAAAGTAAGTAGTCTAGGCTCTCAGGCTATACCATCTCCATGGCTACTACTCAACTGTGCCACAGCGTGAGGGCCACCATGTGAGATTTGTGAGTGAGCAGGAATGGCTGGTTTCCAAAAATACTTTACAAATACAGGTAGCATGCTAGATTGGGCCAATTAGTCAGTTTGCTAATTCCTTGAATAACAGGTTGAGTTCTTGTCACATTTTGACTTTTAGTTCTTTTGAAACACAAATTTCCTCAAAGCTAGATTTATGTTGTTTATATCCATTTGTTTTTCTTTACTGTATCAGTCAACTGAATTTGATAGGATGCATTTCCACTGGGGCTATTCAAACCCTGCCAAACCCAGCATCCCAAGTGTACAGTAAGGAATAAACAGACATCGAGTGGATGGTAGGCTCAAAGATGGACAGGATTCTCTTAAAACTCTGAAGTGGTAAGAAATTCACCACTATAGGAGAGCAAAGGCTAAAGCCTTTTCAAGGTCTGTGCTAAATGTATTCATCCTATGCAGTGCCTTGAGCACCATATTGAAATGGTGAGATAATGTGACATTTTCTTGCTCTCCGCCTTCTAAGTGAAAGCAGAATTTTAAAGATCATTTTCTAGAGCCTCAGGCTGGATCACGCGCACTTCCTGCCCCCGCACCTCAGTCACTTTAGCACTGTCTCCGGTGTCCGTCATCTTCACGGGAGTGGAGCGCTGAGACACAGAGCCCTCATCTTCCCGGTCAGTGCCAGAGTCATCCTCAGAGCTACTCGATAAGGCCTCCTCGCTAGGTGGTGGCGGGGCGCTGGCTGCTGTCTTCCGCTGTAATACGGCTTCTTCTCTATTGCTTTTGTTTCTTGAAAAAGATGAATAGGGATGTGAAGCATCTTTAAGCTGAACCTGGCTCTGTCCGCATACCTTAAGTCTCAGTGAAGCCTAAGAATGTGTGAGAAACTAGTTTCTAGATTCAGGTTGTGCTAAAGAGGAAGGCTTGATATTTCTTCATTGCATGTACTGATCTTACACATACTTATACTCTGTTATAAATTTAAAAATAAACCACATGTACTTGAGGAGTGCAGAAGCCTTATCACCACTTGAATCTAGTACCTTGTTTTGGTAATTGAAATCAGTGCTTTCAAAATTTGTAATACAGTAAGAGAAGACTGTCTGAGATTTGGTAAAATTATCTATAATTTGGGAAGACGCCAAGAAAAGTTTGAATCAGATTCAGGTATGTTTCCCTCCTCATGCACTTTTAATTAATTATAGTGTACCAAATAAGCAACGAATGATAATAAACTAAAATTTAAAAAGCATTGTGCAATTAAAGTGTATTTGCTGAATATTCCCTCCAACAGCAGAGAAGAGATAAAGAAGAAAAGTAGGAAAAAAGTCCATATTTATAAAAATATTTAATTTTTTAGTGCTAAGCTTGAGGGTAATAAGCATACTATGTATTTACAATTCAAAAAGTATGTTATCACTTGGGAGGCAGAGGCAGGCGGATCTCTTGTGATATCAAGGCCAGTATGGTCTATCTAGCAAATTCCAGGCCAGCTGGGGATACAAGGAGACACTGTCTCAAGAATCAAAACAAATCAAGACAAAAAATATTCAATTTTTGACCCTCTACAACTAAAAACTAAACTTGGCAGAATTTCCGTGCTACACTCCAACATAGCTAGTCATCTGCTTATTTGTCTTGGGAGCACCTTGAATTCTAAACTCAAGACTTTCCTTCCTTTAAATTCCCCTTAGCATCTGGTGAGGGTTTAATGTGAAGCTACTTAGAAATAACAAATTTAAGCAATAGAAATTGTGCATCTGGAAAATGTTTGTACATAACCCAATGTATAAATTACATGTGGCTAGAAACCAATTAAGATTGGATACATACTCCCAAATACAATTAGGAGGGAGTCTGTATCTAGTCTTCTGGTCAGAGTCCAGGAGCAATCTTGTCATTGCGACTAGGCAGGTCAACAGCGGGGGTGTTTTCTTCATGCTATCAGATACAGTAATGATCTTCCCCCAAATAATGTTATACACAGAAAATATATTACACTCTATTTGTATATACTTGCTTTTATGCTCCTCAGGTTGCCAACAGAAATTAATACATTAAGTACAAACTTTAAATATTTTATGTTGAGAAACAAAGAATGCTGGGTATTTATAGGATATAAAATGCAACATCTGTTCTGGTCTTTATGCCATCTGTAATACTTCCAATTTAAAATAATAAAATGTACCACATTTCTGAAATTACCATAAATTCCATTTTAAATATCAAACATTTTACTGATCCAGGGTTATAAATGGACTACCTATACAGATGCAGCAAACAGACTTTGCTCCAAATTGTATGACTTGAAGTTATTAGTTTTGGGTGGAAATACCAATTGCTACTATTTTACATGAATCTTTAAATTTTCATTCTATATGCAAATCTTACCCCAGTACAGATTTTCCGGTTTCATCTGGTTTCCGTACAGTAAATGGACTTGGATCAATGCCAATAGTCTTAGGCATAAAATCACTAGAAAAAGAATAATAAAGGTAAAATACCTTATAAATCACTGTCAATGCAGATTGCTGGCATCCACCTCAGTTCACACCTAGTGTTCCTTGTTAATCTTTCATCTGGATCTACATATATTCTAGTCAAGTGCTGGTGAGCGCTCCGGTGATAGGGTCATAAAGTCCATGAACTAATAGCTCTAGGTAACTTCATGACCAGCCTCCATTGTGAATTCTTCATGACTGCAGGGGTCCAATAGTTTTGAATGTGAAGCTCTGTTTACTGGAGCAACGATGACACCCATGGCAAAGATGTTTGTCATCTGGCTATATATCACAACTAATTCTCAGAAAAAATTAAACTCATGTAAACCAGAGGCCACCCACTAAGCTGTTCAGGTTTGTGCATAATATTGTTAAGCTAGATCACCGAAGGAGGTATACATAATGATCAAAACACAGCAATATGAATTAAAATATCAACATCTACCTCATTAGGCTGAGGCTAATTCATAATCACACTGTTGAAATACTTTACACAGAAGCTGCTTTAATTTACCACTTACTGAGGAGAGCTGAAGCTTTTTCCTCAGTATGCGAAAACCATCTTCCTGCTACCAGAGAAGCCAAGCCAAACTCCACAAGAGATGCTGCCAACAAAGCAATCACTCTATGAGTTATGCTAAGACTCATGGCTTCTAGTGAGGATACTGCTCCCAGAGTGTGCCTGATCGCTACTTTTTTTTTTTTTTAAGGAACAAAGTAATCCTGAGTTTGGCTCAAAATGCCTATTTTATTTTATTTGATGATTTTTGTTTTGTTTTCTTGAAACAGGGTCTCACTACATAGCCCAAGCTGGCCTTGAGCTCACTATATATCCCAAGGTAACCAGGAACTCACAGCAATCCTCTTACCTCAGTCTCCTGAATGCTGAGACTATAGATGTGTCCCAATACACTAGCTAAGTGTTCTAGTTTGTTTCTCTACTGCTGTGACAAAACACTCTGACCAATACCAACTTGGGGAGGTAAGGGTTTATTTCGCTTACATCTCCTGAGTCACAATTCATCAGGGAGCCCAAGGTAGGATCTCAGGGCAGGAACCTGAAGCACAGGCCATGGAGGAACGCTGCTTACTGGCTTGTTCCCCTGGCCCATGGTCACTCTGCTTTCTTATACAATACAGAACAACCTGCCCAGGGGTGGCACCACCTACAGTGGGCTGGCACATCACTCAAAAATTAAGAAAATACCCCACAGACATGGCCAGAGGCCAGTCCAATGGAACCAATTATCTGATTGAGGCTCCCTCTCCCCAGGTGTGTCAAGTTGACAACTAAAGCCATCCAGCACACCAAGTGCCCATTTTAATAGTCTGAAATGTTTTGGCAATGTAACTGGATTTTCCCCCCCAACATGTGTGAATTTGCTTACTCACTAAAATATAAGTGTAGCTCCAAATCCACACTCATGGTGCTTTAGCCGTCACTCCCAGTCAACTGCTTGTTAAGGGCAGTGACAGCCCGAGTCACCAGCTCTTATGCTCCAGTTGAGAAAGTGGGCTCTGCCTTTATTTTTGCTATCATACTATAAACAAATGTCCTTTAAACCATCTATTTAGGGATACTTTTCATATTTTTGTGTGCTTTCCTTTGGTGAGGACTTACAGCCTCAGAGTACTCACAACATACCGTGCTGAACTTGTCATGGCCAAGCAAAAGGTATCGTCAAAACTGCTCAATTCGTATGGTCGGAAGAATTCATTGTGAATATCAATCTCTTCTTCATATCTGTGAAATTTCTTCACTATCAACTTCTTTAAGTTTGCAGCACAGGTAACTGAGAAAAATACTTCCTGTCACTCAAAGCACCTTAAGAGTACCTCCAGCAGACATTTATGCAACACCATCAGTGCTCACAGAGGCACTGTGGTGCACTGTGTTAAGACACATTAGTGTCCAAGGTTCTTCAGCTCCCATCTTTGACACTTACTCAGGACAGAGCTTAAGACCCAGGCACAGAAAATAATCCAAAGAAGGTGGGGGTGGGGTGGGGTAGTGGTGGTCCCTGGAGGTCCAGAGTGGGAGGAGAAATGAAACCACTCAGACCTTTAAATTTCTTTTTACTCTTAAATTCCTCCTTAGTCTTGTTAAAATAAACAAAGAAACACGCATGCAGCTCTTTCGCTAAATTTTTTTCTATATTCAAATTTTATTAATGGTCACTGCTAAAATCCTTTCCAGGTTTGGAGAAAATGGTCAGTGGGTAAAGGTGCTTACTGCCATGTCTGATGACCTAAGTTCAATCCCCAGGACCAACATTGTAGAAGTCAGTAAGCAGCTCCTGCAAGTTGTCCTTTGACCTCCACATGCCTGCTGTGGCATGCACCCTTGTATACATGCACACACAAAATAAAGTCCTTTCCTTTCTCCCTGAACAACCAAACCATCAGAGCAATATGATTAATGATTTTTCCCAGAGATTAAGTTAAAAATTCTTTGTAAACAATAACTTACTGACAACTTCAAAATCTTTGGTAAACTGTTCTGAACTTACCCATCCAAAGCTGAAATGCTGAACTGTGGCTAGGTAGATCCCTTACCTGGGGCATTCTTTCCTGGTATTCGCCCCCCCCCTTTTTGTACTAAGAAATGTGCATTTTTAATTTTTTTTATTTTTTAGAAGAAGCATTTCATTACAGCTTTAACATAACAATTTCCAGAGCAAAGATAAATTTCTTTCAAAAGTGGCTATAAAATTTTTAGGTTCACAGATGAAGTAATACAGTTATACAATATTGAACTCAGTATAAACCCTGTAAGAAATAAAACTGAATGAGTTTTTCACCTTTAAAGATCATTGTTTTTGCTAATAACACTTAGATGTTGGTGCATACGTCTCTAACCTGTATGTATCTGATTATTACTAGTCATGGTCGGTTGCATTCGGATCCTTGGCACTTGTATGAATATAAAGTCATCAGGTATCCTTTTACAAGTGAAAATCTGGCTTGCCCAAGGTCGAGATAATGAATTACCAGTACCCTCATAGAGTCAGGACTAAACTATATCTAAAGTTGGGAGATTATTTAAAATTGAAAACATCATTCTAATGAATAGTACATTTGAGGGTATTCCCTTAAATATAAAATTTCTCCTGGCTTTCCAGCACAGTAAAATTTAAATGTGACTAAAATGTACTTTACACACATGTACTTTTTATCATTGTTTGACTATAGGAAAAATGTTTAATTTAATGGGTCCTCACTTCCTTTCCATCTCCCCAAAATATAATACAGACATATGCTAAATCTAGAATATAATGAGCCCTAGTTTAAAGTGAATTACCGTGTCAACTGAATGTTGAGGAGGCATACCTAATAACTATAAGCCACAATCAGGAGGGATAAAGGAAGACACCTACTTAGATAAATGAAGTATAATAATCTCTTTCAAGAAGCTGAGATGTTACAATCCCTTATTAAAATAAAAACATAATAATTCATTTCTTTCTAGTGAGCTAGTTTATCAAAGGATTTAATGTTTTAAGTTCACTTAGATAGAATTCTAAAATATGTTAATATAAAAACTGCTGGCTAGTTTTCATAATGTTGAAATGTGTAATTCGTACTACTGGAAGAGAAAAGTAATCATCAATTCTACCTAGCTGTGAACGCTGCAAACCATAATAACAACTGGCCTGGCAAGATAGGCCCACTGGTACTATAGTGGCAGGTATGTTATGGGAGTAACAATCATTTTATGATAGGATTTAAGGCCTGCTCCACAAGATGGAACCCATACTTGGCACTGTTATTGTGGCCAAGAGCCTCTGGCTAGATAGGTCATAGACCTTAGGAGGCCTTACACTATTATTCTGTTAAATGGACATAGTATCAAACAGACTCCTGATGACTTGTTGTTACACCCATAGATTAGTACATCTCTCAACCCTCACCAGAGAAAGTTCTTTTTGCGGTAGACAGCAATTAACAAAGGGACCCACAACTGGTCAATGTGCAGAAAACAAGAGACTGTGGGGTGCTCAGTCTTGAACAGGACACCTATATTACACCCTTCCTTCCAGTGCTCAGGGATCACTATGGAAGAGGAGGTAGAAAAATTGAGTCAGAGGTGGTAGATGACTACAGTGAAAAGAGTGTTTTCTGGACACAAGAGGGCCGGTGTACATATGAATCCATAGTATGCACACAACCTGAGCAAGTTCAAGTTAGACAACATCTAAGCATGGATGGAGGTGCTGAACACCAAGTCCCACCTCCAGCTGAGGAGCTATTGGCAACTGAGAGCTGCTAGGAGAGAGTCTGTTTTCTTTAAGGTCATGACTCCTGGTAGGTTGACCACACTCCAGGGGATGGAGTCACACCCAAGAGTATTTGGGGAATGAAAACTGGATTTGATGGGCTTTAAAAAAAGTGGACATGAAGTTGGGGGTGTAGGGAGGTGGGGTGGATCTGAATGGAGATGGGGAGGAAGGTTGAATATGATCAAAATATATTGATTGAAATTCTCAAGGAAGTAATAAAAGTATCAAAAAAGAAAACTAAATGAGCTATAGTTACTCACCTTCATCATAAGGTAATGGTAAATGCTTTATCACCTCTGGGGTCCACCAGTGAGTGTAACTACAAAAGGAAAACAAGGACCAAGTGTAAACGCAGCTTTTCTACAGTTCATTAGATAAAAGATGTTGCCTTCTGCTTCAAAGTTCTTTTTTTTTCTACGTTTAAAATGTGTGCAGGGTTTTTGACACAGTAGGTCTTCAGTATGCTAAACTGCTTCCTAATCCCTTTCCTGTTTCAACTCCATCTCATATTTATGAAATGCAAAGATGCTCTGGAATTAACCTCTTTTGGCTAAAAACAGGTTAGCATATGTTAAGCAGACTCTGGGAGGTTATTTCTCCCAGGGACTCACTCTGTGGACAGTGAGACCTTGACCCAAGGCCTATAGCCAGGTCTCTGTTGCCCTTAGTTATCTGAGAGTTAAGACTACTTTCTACTCTACTACATAGACAACATGTGTGTACAGTTACTTAAACAGTTGAGCAAAATCATTAAGGAGTAAATTAGAGAGTCCTAATGAACAGGTTCCCTTAGGAAACAGCACAGGCCTTGTTTATCTTTAACAGAAAAAATGGACCGACTATAGAAGCCAGAGTAAGGATAGGGAATTTCAACTGTCTGGGTTTCTGCTACATGCAGAGATCTGAACAAATCCTGAATCCCTTCTCTCTTAACACTGAATTTAATCATAAATCAAATTCTGATGAAATACAGATTTAGGGGAAAAGAGCCATGTCAAAGTTCGTAAGAGCTAGGAAGGGGAACAATGTGAAATGGTATATAAAAATATATAAGAAAACCAGCCTTCCAACAGTTTAAAAAATAAGGCCTATAGCCCAAAACACTAAAAAGATAATTTAGTATGAGAGTTTTAAAAATAAAATGCTGAAATTATAATCATGAGTATTCCCAATTAGGAAGAAACGGAGGAAACTCCAAATGCAACTGGCAACACGGCCTGTCTTAGAGACGGCAACAGCATCTACACTGAGAATGACAGAGAAAAGAGCAGGAAGCCTAGAGAACTGGGGCGTGAACAGGGCTCTGAAAGTAGGCAAAGCTCCGGAGCACTCTGCTTTGACTTTTACAGCAGAGCTTGTCCAAATCCACTGTACATAGGAATCCCTTGGATGACCTCCTTACAAAACAGATGCTGAGTCGGAAGACTGGGCCCAAGTTTCGTGGTTATGACATGCTACTGGGTACTGCTGAAGGACTGCCCTTCAAGCTGTGTTCACAATAGCAACAGGGAAAGAGTAGTCTGATGCTTTCAGAGAATTAATTCAATTATTCAACACTGATCAATCACCTACAGTGCACCAGCTATTGAACTGAAAATAACAAGCCATATACAGTGTAAGGGGGAACTGGGTACAGACCAAGAGATGGAAGGAAGCAGTAGATCATCTCTAAAAGAATTCAAGTGATTTGGTGCAGCTGAGGTCAATAATTTTACTATACTGGAAATGGTTTAATGTATTTTTGACGCCCCAAAGTGAAAGGGTGATATATTCTAACAACTACATATCAATGACAGTGATATCAATATCGGCAAAGTTACAGAATCAAATTTTACACAGAACTATGTTATGAGTAACTTAAAAAGATGACTGGCAAACTCTATGAATTCACATAGTCTCACGCAAATAAGCCAAACCACATGAATTTCATTTTCTTTAATAGTCAGAGAAATCAGATCGATCTGAGGCATGAGAAAGACATGATCTATCTGTTTAGGAGAGCAGAGTGATGGGGACACGTGTGTGAAGAAAAGTCTTCTATTTGCTAATGACGTAACCTGGACAAAGGAGGAACAGTAGAGACGACATTGGCTAGTGAACGAGGAACTCCCTAAAAAATGCTGCTTACATTAATTCACCTGCTTAAGAAAAGAAGCAAACATTATATAGAGATGTTTTAACTCAGAATGTACTATGCAGAGAATAAGAACTCAAGAGAAGTCTGTATCAGTGATATAAGACTAAGACACGGACTTTAAAAATGTTTTATTTTTATTATATATTGCATTTCCCTAAGCAATTTAAAAGAAGTTTAAGAATACTTTTTGAAAAACTTAAGTTCTCTGAGTGAGTCTCAGAAACAAAGAAGCCATGAGAAATACGAGCGAATTAAAGCCAGGAAAAGAACAACTTTACCACCTCCATCACCTCTACCACAGGGGCATTTACTCAGAGGAGAAATACCTGTAGAGGTCAGAAACATGCTTTGGGGCTAGGGATTACAGAATGGGAAATTGTATGCTGGTGAATTTCCTACTTTATATCTCATAACCTGTTGGGGACCCCTGCTGTTTAGGGTAGCAGTCTCCCCATGTCCGGATAGCCACAAGCTGGCTCAGCGCGAATGGGGGGACTCCCCTTCTCAGCCGGGCGCCTTCTGCTCTCCTCCCTGACTTACTTTTGAAATGCCCATCACAAGATACATGCCCTCCGGCACAGGAGCTACCAGGTTTTAATCAGGCGTTGTCTGATAGCCTGATAGAAGCCCACCGCCCTATGTAAATGAAGCATTCCAGGAGTACCTATCAGCTAAGGTTTTTACTACCACCCCCATAGTATAAAATATCCTGGTTTCCCCTCAATAATCGGAGCTGGATCACTTAGACTTGGAGCCGAGCTGAGTCACTGAATAAAAGGGCTGTACCACTGACTGAGCTGAGTTCTGTGTCTTACTGCCTACGATCCAGCCTCCCGGGGCGCTATCCTTCCATCATCGACTCACGGAAATCCAGCTTCAGCCGTCCCGCACCTCTCCTCGTGACCCGGCAGCTGACGGGTCCCGAACTTAGAGAGAGAGTGCACGGGTGAAATTGGAGCAGAACTCGACCAGGCCAGCCCCGGTAGCAGAGACCCACAGAGACGCGGAGAAACAGGGACCCGACAGCAACGCGGAGCAGCCTCCGGACCGCGGCTTACCAGGTGCGCACAGGAGACCCGCCCCACACTAGCAGCTGGCGCCCCAAGATCCCTGCCCGCCCATAATAACCCATAAATCATATTCTTTTCTCTTTTTAGTCCCTAGTATTTAAAGTGCCAAATTCCACTGGATTTCTTAGAAAGTTAAAGAGAATTTTAAGACTGTCTTTAATTCTCCTAGGTAACTTGGGAGTTTTCTGAAACATGCATGATCAAAGACAAAGCAATCGATATACACAAATAAGACAGAGAAACGTGAGCATGGTAATAGCAGAGTTAAAACCAACAGCTGTTTAAATGATCCCAACCCCAAAGCACCAGACAATGGAATTACCGCACAGTATATGCTCCAGGTTCTGCCATCTACCTGATTCCACTCAGCATTTTTCATCAGGGCTTGATGAGATCAAGAGAGTCAGCTGATTAAATCTGAAGAAGCCACATTAGAAGTATTGATAAAAAGGATGCACATTTAACTGCTTTTTTTTTTGTGGAAGCAGGCAAAGTGTATATGGATATGAAAAGAATATTGTACATAAGGCATAGGCATGCTTAAAGATGTGCTGGTTCTAACAGACAGAGAGCTCAGAAAACACTGTCACAGCAATGCTGAAAACAGTTGAGATGATCTTATGCTTAATGATGAAAACACAATTCAGACACGGGGAGTGGTAGTTGGAGTTCAAAATCACTGCAAAAATCAGGCCAAACTCTCACTACTATTGAGCCCAGGCAGAGCCACAAGCTTAGAAAGGATTTTAACATCAACAGGAAAAAATACTGTAAATACTGGAAGGACTTGCAACCACAGCCCCTGAGAAACAGCTGAAACACCAGTGACTATTTAATATGAAGAAGAGGAGATTTTGAGACTATATGAATTCATCTTTAAACTTTTCAGACTATCTAGTGAATGTGGAAATCATGCTCTGAAGGGCTTGGTGGGCTGAGGTAGGGCCAGCAGGAAAGATTACAGGGAAGTAGATCTCAGCCAAAAGTAAGAAACAGTGGTATAAGTGACTGTCCCAACAACTGCCCTTCAACTCTCAGAGTCAATGAAATAATTAGAGGTTAATAAAAACAGCTTGGAAATAGGCACAGTGGTACATGCCTTTACTCCCAGCACCCAGGAGGCAGATGCCTCTGTGAGTTCCAGGTCATCCTGGTCTGCACAGTGAGTTCCAGACCAGCTGGGGCTACAGAGAGCTCCTGTCTCACACAACAACAAACCAAAAAAATAAAATAAAATAAAATAAATAAAATAAATAAACCAACAATCATGCTCTGAAGGGCTTGGTGGGCTGAGGTAGGGCCAGCAGGAAAGATTACAGGGAAGTAGATCTCAGCCAAAAGTAAGAAACAGTGGTATAAGTGACTGTCCCAACAACTGCCCTTCAACTCTCAGAGTCAATGAAATAATTAGAGGTTAATAAAAACAGCTTGGAAATAGGCACAGTGGTACATGCCTTTACTCCCAGCACCCAGGAGGCAGATGCCTCTGTGAGTTCCAGGTCATCCTGGTCTGCACAGTGAGTTCCAGACCAGCTGGGGCTACAGAGAGCTCCTGTCTCACACAACAACAAACCAAAAAAATAAAATAAAATAAAATAAATAAAATAAATAAACCAACCAAACAAACAAAAATCAGCTTGGATACATCATAAACATTTTATTGACATCTTAGAATCTTAGATAATATATGATCTGTTGACCAAACTTAGACCAAAGTTTTGATCAGATCAACACATGTGGGATTCAAAGTAACAGAAATAGTTTCTTGAAGAGAACCGTCAATAAAAACATTATTTCAGAGTAAATCATCGGTATACACAGTATAAATACAGATAGCCACTAAGTTTGAAAACACAGATGAATACATAATAAGAGGGTTTATTGGTATTACATTTTACAAACAATAAAATACTGCCTAGGTTTCCAGATTTTAGGGGTATCCTATATGATTTTTAGTAAATGTTAGAAATTAGGGGTATGTTCTCCATAGAGAATAGTAGCAATACTAACATAGGTGGGATTAGCCATGTGCTAAGCATTTAAAAGATTTCATCTGATTCTAAGAAGTCCTATTTTACTGAGATGGAAGCAGAATTAGACTAGCTGAATGACATTACTGAAGGTCACCCAGGACTTAGCTAGAGGCAGATACAGCAGAGCCCAGTTGCTTCAGGATTATGCTTATTCTGTGTCAGACCCAGTGGTAAGCACTTTCCACATATTTTCTCATTAATGCCTTAAAATGACCCAGTGTCATCTCATTCCTACATATGAGAAATCTAGTTTCAGAAAGCTAAGTAACAGGTCTCAAGAGGACTGATCTCTGTCCCAGACTGAGCTCCATATTCTCGTCCTGTTACTGCCTCTGGCTTAACTGTTCATTTATTTTGTAAATTATCCTGACTTAACTGTCATCAAAATAACCTATACAGATGGTGACATTAAAAGTCCTCAACAAAACACTGAAATATATCTTAGAGTATTGACAAGCTCTGTTTATGAACAGTATCAACTGATGATTTACACCAAATATTACATCAATTATCTGATATTCTAGAGAGAAACCAAACACTGTAGAGTTACTGAGTGAGCCACATTACCTACTTTAATACTTCCATTGTTGGGCTTGTAACTGACTCTTGCTGAGTCATCTAACTAGCTAAATAATCTCAGCCATGGCACACTCTCTTTGAAGTTCAGTTTCCTATTTTAGGAAACGGGACTGTAACACCAGCATCCTTTTGTTCCCACCTACCTGCCTTAATTATGAAACTCAAGGCAAGCCAGAAGCTTTATACTTGTAAATACACAGATAATTTCTGCAGTAGAAAGTGGAATGTTAGTTGTTTCCATGTTGTATTCTAACAGATTCAATACTGGGCAATGTAACAGTTCAAAAGTCAACCACACTTACCTACAGTCAATCATCACCAGCAAAGCTAGGTACAAGTATTTATCCATACTTCTCACAAAATAGATACAGCTCAAAATTTGGCAGCAAAGTTTCACATAAACAATCACTTATTAATAATAACTGCAATGTAGAAACTAGCAGTGCTTCATTTATAAAGTAAGCTCAAGAATTAAGCTGGTTTTTCCAACAGTATGCTCTGATAAGAACGTAAGAAACACACTAACTCGGAGACTTTCCTAATATTTTAAATATTTCTGTAGCAACGAAAATTTTTTTCAACAACTACATTATTTTGTAAGTCATCAGTTGTTTGCAGTCTATACATACAGTGAGCACAGGATGGCAATAACTCAGTATGTAGAGGCAACTTTGCTATACCAATCTGATGCTGTGTGAAGAAAAAGCACTATGGGAGAGTCTGATTTTCATTACAGGCCTTTAAGCCTCCTATGTGTTAAAATTTTACCCAGCTGGCAAGATTGATTATATTAGCACATGATTCCTCAGTTAAAAATACTGAAGCGCCTTCTCACTAAAGTTCTAACACTGACTCTGAGGTGTGCCCAGCCATTCACATCTTGCAGACATGTCAGAGAACAAGTCCAGGGCCATACACCTACAAAGATTCCAATTCAACTCCATGGGACCTGGAAGCCCACATTACTGGACACCATATTAAAGAGCTTCTGGTAAACAGTTCATTTCTTAATAATTTTGGGGAGTGGCAGTTAAGACAGGGTCTCACTACTAGGTTTACTAGTAACCCACAGTTGTTCTGGTGGAGGACAGAACATTAGAAAGCATTTTGTGGCCCTGATGTTACAAAGAAATATTGCTTAGATATACCCTTGAAAACTCTAAGACCTATTCCTTGAGTTTCACATTTGTGGGAAACATTCAAGAATGAAGTCCTGGCTTGGTTAGGGGGCTACACTATGTTCTGTGAGGAGGCTCTCAAGATTTATCTGAACCTTAGGGAATGTCCAAAACACCAAATGTGAACCAGGATTTGTCCACGCTGACCAAGACACCAACAACATTAAACTCATGGCAAATGTGGTAAGACCGATTACATTAGCCCATGTACACATTTCATTAACAATATTCAAAATGACATCAAATCTGAGTTTGCATGGTAGACTAGGAATAAAAACATACCTTCTTCTTGTTGGTAAAAGTCTCATGGTATTCTTGTGATGCAAATAAAAATCTGTTGGGAGTTCCCAGAGATGAGGCTTCCCTTCTGTGGGGTGGAAAACTCCCAGGAAGAGGTTAATGGAATCTTGTCTATCAGCATCTAAAAAGCAAGAAAATATATTTAAGAAAACTAATTACTGAGGCAGATACCCCAGGAGAACAGCTCAGGAGGCCATTGATGCAACTGCAGTTTCATAGCAGATCTCTGAAAATAAAAGGAGCATTTATATTTCAAGCTTCATACACATACATACAATCTTGGTCATCAGAGCTCTGAGGAGAATGAAAACCTTGCTTTAGAATGATGCTTCCTTCTTGACCATACCTCCAAAACAGCAGAATGTAAACTGCTTCTTAAATATCGGCTTAAAAATTGTTAAGAACTACTATAATACTTTAGACTTTTTTTTTGAGACAGGGTTTCCCCTATAGCCCCACTTGGCCTGAAACTGACTATGTAGACCAGGCTGGCCTTGAGCTTATGGAGATCCACCTGCCTCTGCCACCTGAGTGCTGGGATTAAAGGCATGGCTTATTTTTAAAATAAAAACATATCCTCACCATTTATAATTTATCTGAAGTGAACACTTCTCTTTATTCTGAAGCAGTGCTGAGTGACAAACAGACCAACCCAGCTCCTGCAGAAATTCTGCTGCACAACCTTGAACCAGCCAGCTGCACTCTCCACATTCAATCCTGGAGAAGATACCCTTTCTTGAACAGAGACACTGCCCTCAGCTGGGGGGTTGGCCCATTATTTTCTGTGGTTGACAACAAAGACAGTAAGGGTATATGAATAATATCTGCGTTGTAGCTCTTCGCCCACTCCAAAATTATCTTCCAAACTCTATTATGAACTAATCAAACTGCCTGCACATACGTTCTAGTTCCTCTTCCTTTTCCTGATTATGCTTTGGTACAAATGATAACACTGAAGTGGTCTCCACCCACTCTCCCATTCTACACCTTCTCATCCTGGCACCCTGATTCTGTCCCCTTGCTTCCTTCTGACCTTCTTGTCTTGGAGCCCTATCTATTCAGGTCTCTTGCAGACATTCATGATATAAATAATAAACTCTTTCTGAAAATGAGTGTGGTACTAAAAAGGAAGCACAGCACAAATGGCTGCTTTGGGAACAAGATCATATTATCATAAAATCAAATTTCTTCCAACAGCTATAGTGAATACATGCATCTGAAAGTAGTATTGGGTTATTTGACCATTTTTGCAAAAGCAAATGAATGAAATATGGTAGATCAAATATGTATTCCTATTATTAATATTTGGCAAGAAACATTCCATTAAAAAGCATTTACCTTTCAGACCAAGAGTAATATATAAAAGGATGTTTATATGCTGAATCTATTTGGAGCCTTTTCTCCACTTGTTGAGAGGAGACAAGTATTATAAGATGCAGACATTACTACTCAATTTGCACCTCTTTATGTAACAAAAAAGTAAACATGTTGATCTTACAATAATTATATTCTCTATGCTTCTTGAATAGACTTGATAGAACTTAATAGTTTATTTCATGCAGTGCCTCAAAACATCTTAATACTATCTAAAACAGCTTTCCATTTTCAGCCATGTTTTCAAGGAGTTTCTTTCATTAGTAGTTTCCTTTAAATTTTAGCAAGTATGACAAAAATGTAAGAAGTGACAAGCATTTAACAGATAAAAAAAGAGATAACTCAGCTGAGCATGGTGGCACATGCCCCGTGGTTCCAGCACTCGGGAGGCAGAGGCAGGCGGATCTCTGTTGAGTTAAAGGCCAGCCTGGTCTACATAGTGAGTTCCAGGACAGCTGGGGCTACAGGGAGACCCTGTCTCAAAAAGGCCAGAAAAAAAAAAAGAGATAACCCTTCAAAAGATCATAAAGGCTCTTGAAGGCACTGCTATTGCTACAACTTCAGATCTCTCTACAGTGGTATGGGTTAACTACTAAGGTTGGGTGATAAGGCCACAGAAATGAGCCTGAGCATTCTCTGGGTATTGACTGTAAAATAAACCTGCTTTCTCTAGGAAGGTGGTAGCACTTTGGGTATGGTCCAGAGCTTAGTATAGCTAGGTCCTCTCTGTAGTGTGGCTAACAAGAGGGCAAAAGGATTACCTACTTCTACAGCTAATTATTCTTTAAAAGCAAAAAGAATATGAACTATTAAATGTCATTCAAGTCACTATGCACTAACCAGTTCTATTATTTATATATAAACAGATCAGGACTGAGTATAACAATTTTTAAATTAACTGTCCAAAATTTTATCTTGGAACTAAAGTATTTGTTATTCTAATATGTATGTGATGAAGCAGTGTCTGAGATCATAAAAGTAGAAAATACTAGTTAATAACTAATACTTTTTAACTGGTAGGATAATGAACTTAAGATTCCTACCTTATGCCATTTATTGAAAAAAATACTAATGAGATGTAAGAAAGACACAGATCAACACCCAGTATAAAAGCAGATACATATACCTTTCAAAAGAAGGAGAAACGGCCAATGAACATACAAAATTCCAATTTTACTAGTTATCAAACAACTACAGACTAAAACAATATAATATTTCTACTATGCTGACAAACATTTTTCTTAAGGTGTAAGAGCATTAACTGATTAATCCTTTCTGGAGGCAACCTCTCTCTCTCTCTCTCTCTCTTTCTCTCTGTATGTGTGAGATGGGTAATCTTGACTGTCAACATGACTAGGCTAAGAATCTAGATTAGTGATAATCTTACTGATAACACACTTCTGGGTATGTCTGTGAGGGTGTTCCAGAGACAATTAGATCATTAGGGCTCTGGTAGAATGAATGGTGGACTCTATTAGTGGTATTATTAGGAGGTGGTGAAATAGAAGGTGAAACCTAGTTGGAAGAATTAGGTCACTGGGGGCATGTCTTTGGGGACTATATCTTGCCTCCCTCTTCTTGCATTGCCCTGTCTCTGCTTAGGTTAAGAAGCCCCCTCAACAGCCCAGGTCCTACCACCATGACATTTTGTCCAAGCAACAGGGACAAATAACCATGGACTGAATCCTATGAAAACATGTACCAAAATAAGTCTTTCCTCTGTTAGGTTTTGGTCAGGTATTCTATCACAATGATGAGACAAGTAACTAACTCATTAAGGCCCTGAAAGACATTTCTACTTTCTTACCTAGTAAAAATAAGTAGTTGGCTGGAGAGATGGCTCAGCGGTTAAGAGCACTGACTGCTCTTGCAGAGGACCTGGGTTCGATTCCTAGCACCCACATGGCAGCTATGAACCATCCTTAACTCCAGTTCCAGGGGAATCTGAAGCCTTCTTCTGACCTCTGTGGCACTGCACTACATGGGTGCACTCACATACATGAAGGCAATACACTCATATACATAAAATAAAAATAAAATATTTTAAAAAACCAAGTAGCTGGGTGTTGCTGGCTGACACATGCCTTTAATCCCAGCACTTGGGAGGCATAGGCAGGTGGAGCTCTGTGAGTTGGAGGCCAGCCTGGTCTACATAGGAAGTTTCAGGCCAACCGGGGTTATAGAAGACCTTGTCTCAAGAAGACAGAAAAAAAAGAGAAGTGAAAAGGACTTATGTTCAAAGGTGTTTTATTCAGCAGGATCCTAGAAGTACAATAACAAATAACTAAATTATGATGCTTCTAAAGGATAAAGAACCATAATGTTACTAAGCAATCATGTTGTAGAAGAATAAAGTCATAAAGTTATTTATATTATCTGAAAGGGCAAAAGATTATAAATTGCATGTGTAATAAAAGCAGAAGGGTCCTGTTCTCCTAAACATGAACAAGTGGCTATCTCTGAGGGTGAGGGTTATTATTTATTTGTGTGTCATTCTGTACTTTCTAAAATTAACACACACTACTTTAATAATTGAAAAAAATCATTCATTCAAGAACTTTCCATGTCCTTCACTTCACTGGGGACACAAAGACTAACAAGAGCCTGGTTCTTGGAGTTTTATAATTTAGTAAGAAACAAAAATATGTATAAATAAATAATGAAAGTGTTTTCAGAAGATAAAAATTCAATGAAGAATATAAAACAGTGACGGGAGGATATGGGGACACAGGTTGGGCAGGTAGAGAAAGAGTAGAAGCTGGCTGAAGTGTGAACTGTAGTGGATGAAGGATGGCATCCACAGAGCTCTGATGAAGGATGGCATCCACAGAGCTCTGATGAAGGATGGCATCCACAGAGCTCTGATGAAGGATGGGATCCACAGAGCTCTGATGAAGGATGGGATCCACAGAGCTCTGATGAAGGATGGCATCCACAGAGCTCTGCCCTGCCTGGGCAGGACCTAGAACTGCAAAAGCCTTTGGGGAAAACAAACCGAGCAGCACCAGAACAGGAAGGCCAGGGAGGCTGCAGGGTGGTGGTAACAGAAAGAACAGAGGGCTAGAGACAAATGGAGTTAGATCCATGTGGCCTTATAGATCATAGTAAGGAATTTGATTTTAAATGCGATGGGAATCCCTGGAAAACGTGGCGTTTTTGTTGTCATTTTTCAAGAGGGAATCATGGGATCTGATTTAACTTTAAAAAACAGAAATAATACTGGCTGCTATGAACAATTAGATCAGGAAAGTAGACAAAGAGATGATCCAGGAGCTACTGCATCTGTCAAGAGGTACTGGTTGTGAGGAGTGGTATGACATCAATAGGGATGAAAAATTAGTAGAAAGAGAGTTGCAGGTGCAGTTCAGTGGCAAACATTTGTCTAGCACATTCAAGGCCCTGGGTTTGATGCCCAACACTGTGACAGGAGGGCAGGGGAAAGGAAAGAAAGGAGGGAAGAGCAGAAGAAGAAAGGGAAGGGGACAACAGAAACAATGGATGGATACTTTGGAAGTAGAGTCAATAAGATCTGCTAACATGGGAGAGTGTGGGTAAAGGTGATGGGTAAGGAAACTAAAGGATTCGAGGATAATTCTTAGGTTTCTGAATTGAACAATGGGTATGCGGTAGAAAAAACAAAAGAAGAAACAGATTAAAGAGAATGGAGAGTTTCTGTATCTGAAATGTTAAGTTTGAGGGATTTTTGTTCTGCATTTATTCTCTCTCTCTCTCTCTCTCTCTCTCTCT